GTGGAAGTCTGGTGACCTTGAAGAAGTCTTCTATTCCTATCGACCCATTAGCATAGCAGTGTGTAATAAGGGAAATTTTGCCAGCACAGCGACATTAGCTTACTATTTTTCAATTTCCAACTGTTGGGGGATCTTTATACGTGCACAGCCTGTAGCACACGGGACCAAAGAAGACCCGTAACATTGTTCATTTTGGGAACATTTAGATTTCCAGTCCAATGCCAATGATTCCTGTAAATTCAGAATTGACCAAATTTTGATGTCAAATTCCCAAATTAAACTAAAATTGGTAGCAAAACTGAAAATTCAAAACTCTTAGTTCTTTCGTTTCCTTTTTTCTGACCTGACGACATTTTGACGTCCATTGCACGTGGAGTTCCCGAATGAAAAAAACCAAAACAAATGTCAAAGTTTGGTGACAAAATTATAAGGTAAATTTAATGGGGAGGGACTTGACGGCTGAAACTTCGAATCCCAGCGCATTTTGACGGATTTGTTGCTAAAACTAGCCCCGTCACAAGGATTGAATTGGTGCTGGAGCTCAGATTTTGTACTCAGAAAATTTGAAGAATTAAAGGCCCTGAGAACTCATTTCTGATAATTTTGAGGTGCCAAAAACGTATCAAAATCTAAATTTGCTAAACTGAAGAAGGTTTTGCTGGGGTTTAATTCTCCCTTCTTGTTACCCAGCTTCCACGGACCCCACCCTAATGACAGGGCTGGTTAAAACTCGTAGAAGACAAATTCCCCGTCGTTTAGGAAATTCAAATTCCAAGATTACGTAACAAAATGTGATACCGTATATTTGCGTGTATAATGCGCATTTTTTTAACAACATATTTTTGGTGACATATTGTGAACTTCATAAGTTTGAAAATAGGTTTTTTGTATTTTGTAGATTGTATCTGATTTTGTATTTTGTACATTGTAGATTGTATCTGATTATGTTTTTTGTATTTGTAGATTGTATCTGATTTTGTATTTTGTATTTTGTAGATTGTATCTGATTTTGTATTTTGTAGATTGTATCTGATTTTGTATTTTGTAGATTGTATCTGATTTTGTATTTGTAGATTGTATCTGACTTTGTATTTTGTATTTGTAGATTGTATCTGATTTTGTATTTTGTAGATTGTATACCATGTACAGAAGATCTATTCCAATGTGATAACTGTCGATGTATCTCTAAAAGTTGGCTCTGTGACCACAACAATGACTGCGGAGATAACTCAGATGAGGCCCATAACTGCTGTAAGTATTTTAAGTATTAGGGGGTGAGAGCCCACACTGGGCCGACTCTCGAAAGCACAGGCACAGGAATCAGAACGTTGAGGAGGATAAGGGTTATGTATTTGGGGGTGAGAGCTAACATCAGGCCGACTCTTAAAAGCACTGGCACAGGCATCAAAAAGTTGAGGAGGATAAGGGTTATGTATTAGGGGGTGAGAGCCGACACTGGGCCGACTCTCGAAAGCATTGGCACAGGCATCAGTATTTTTCTTGCCTTGAACATGGATTCAAACCAACCGCATCTGGTGGCCTTGCAAAAACTTGACTAATTGCAAAATATGCTTTATCATATAAACCCCTTCGCAATTAGTGACATCATTAAACACTTAGTTTTAGTGAACAGAACAAGAACCACAGACATCTGATTGAAAATTAGAATGGTGTAAATTGATGCTATCAGTGTCTCTGATACACATAAAAAATTTATAAAACTTCTTTACAATCTCTTTAACAAGAACCACAGATGTCTGATTGAAAATTAGAATGGTGTAAATTGATGCTATCAGTGTCCCTGATACACAAAAAATATTCAGAAAACCTCTTTACAATCTCTTTAACAAGAACCACAGACATCTGATTGAAAATTAGAATGATGTAAATTGATGCTATCAGTGTCTCTGATACACATAAAAAATTTATAAAACCTCTTTATAATCTCTTTAACAAGAACCACAGACGTCTGATTGAAAATTAGAATGATGTAAATTGATGCTATCAGTGTCCCTGATACACATAAAAAATTTAGAAAACCTCTTTACAATCTCTTTAACAAGAACCACAGACGTCTGATTGAAAATTAGAATGATGTAAATTGATGCTATCAGTGTCCCTGATACACAAAAAATATTCAGAAAACCTCTTTACAATCTCTTTAACAAGAACTACAGACATCTGATTGAAAATTAGAATGGTGTAAATTGATGATATCAGTGTCCCTGATAGAAAACCTCTTTACAATCACTAGAAATGAGTGTAAAAGAATATGGAAAGTTAATGTTTATTGTTTAGTAGAATTTATTAAATCTGTCAACTTGTCAAGACACCTGTACGTTGACAAATAAAAATGCACGATTGTCAAAATAAATAAAATCTAAATATTTGACAATGAAGATGACAATGTTTTGAAGATTATTATTTTAGATATTTTTATGAAATTATAGACTATGTTAAACTTGAATCCATAATTACAAAAGTTTTTCACAAAAAAATTGATGCTCTTATTAAATGATTCATCAAAACTTTAGTTGATCTTAGTTGCCAATTTTTTGTAAAATGTTCATTTTTTTCGATATTATTATTATGACTTCCCTCTGTCGTCAATTTAGCTGGATTTCAATCTCAGCCTGTGCTTTTTTGGGGCTGACATGGAAAAAGTGTCCAGTCATTCGGATGGGACAATAAACCAAGACTGTAAAGGTTGTACACGTTAAAGACCCCTTGACAGTTGGACATAAAAAAAGAGTAGACTTATGCTGCTGTTTTTGCAAAATTTCCCTCATTGCACACTGCATGGCGTTGCTTGTCTTTATTAGCCTACAAGATGCAGAAAAGTAGGACGTAAAACTCCATTTCATTTTTCAGTCTGTGCTTTTGTAATTTCAATCAGAATTTCTTGTTACTTCGTCGTATACTCAAAGGAACAGGTTCACCATCTGTTTGACCAATCATATTTTAGTCTCAGAGACAGGAATTTTTTAGCTAAGCTAATCAGTAATAGTGTTCACAGCTCACTGTCAAAATTTGAGCCTTCAAATCCATGTTTGTCTAGAATTATCTACGTTTGAAAGTTAAAATGACGACTCGTCAATTTAAGATACACTGTCATATATAGAAAAGACATCTATAGAAATAGTCAGTAAAATTCCTAGTTTGAGATATTTTTAAAGGAATTATGTGATTTTGGTACATTTCTAGTATTTCTGAAGACTATTTACATATATTCAAGACTCAAATCAACCAAGCCAAGGACCATGATTGTATAGTGTATTGTTGTATTTTTAAAGGAATTATATGATTTTGGTACATTTCTAGTATTTCTGAAGACTATTTACATATATTCAACACTGAAATCAACCAAGCCAAGGACCATGTATAGTGTATTGTTGTATTTTTAAAGGAATTATGTGATTTTCGTACATTTCTAGTATTTCTGAAGACTATTTACAGATATACAAGACTCAACTCAACACCCAAAATGGTGAACCTGTCCCCTAATTTAATATTATTAATATTTGTAGCATAACCTGCCTGCTCTGGGTCCAAATATAGGCCTACCCCTGACTGTATTTATGCCAAAATCAACCTCCAAAAGTGCTGATTGTTATGATATTTTAACTTTTTTAGCGTATCCTGCCTGTTCGGGGTC